GAAGCTTGGGGACAGGCCGGGTCCTCTGAGACATGATGTCATCAGGCTGTGGTCACTGACCCACCAGACCTACTTTGGTTTGACAATGGAATTGCCAAATTGACCCCAGTGAGTCCCATGATGTTACTTGGCCAAGCCACACTGCTTTCCTTCTGGGGTCTCCATGCCCCACACTAGGGTCTTGGCAACATGGATATTGTACTTGCAAACCATCAAAACTTCTTTTCAAGCCCACGCTGGCTCCGTGGATTCCACCAAAGGCCTCAAAACTGGGTAGACCTGTGTCACGACAGTGGTCAGCTAGCCAGCATGCAGAGAGTGGACAGCTCCTTGGTTCCCCTGCAAGCATAGGCTGGTGGGAGACCAGGTTAGAGCTGTTTGCCTGCTGTTATATTAGTGGCTCATGGAAGCAGGGCACTGGTGTTTGTGGGCGGAAGTAGCATCACCGCTGTCCGTAGCTTTCTTGCCCCCTCGTCCTTGTCACCTCGAGCCTCTTGCTGGAGCACGAGAGTCTGCGGCATGGTCACTGCAGGTCCTGGCCCCCAAGGAGCACTCCTGGGAGAGAGCAGGGCCTTGAATAATCAGAAAGTGTGAGCAGCAGTGTGATCTTCCATCTCCACAAAAGATGTCTTGGCCCGAGGCGTGAGGTGTGGACAAGGAGTAAGAGCAATGCCCATGGCTGCCCTGACCCCTGTTCTGTGGTCTGAGGGGCAGCACACTGGCAGAAGACTCATGGAACCCAGAACTGTGATGAAACATTGAGCCAATGGTTTGGGAGCCTTGGAGCCTCGATTTATTCATCTGCTTTCGGGGAGGCTGCTGGAAGCTATGATGGCTCCACACTGCAAGGATCCATAAACCCAAAGGCCTGGAGTCAGGCTGCTGTGGAACTGTGGGTGGGGAAAGGGGAGGGGTCCAACCTGAGGCTAGCTGGGATGAGCAGGACAGGTGTGCCTGCTGGTGGGCCAGGTGGGGCCCTGGGACTGGGGAGGAGCTCTGAGAGTCAGCACCACACCCCATGGGCAAATAGTGGGGGCAATTGCTACTTGGGGTGGTGTGCACTTGGTGTCTTGTATGTCCCTGTCTCCAATAAAGTCTTGTGGTACCCAACTCCAGCATTCACCTATAGTCCTGTCCCATTCCATGTCACAGGAGAGCGACACAGACACATGATGCTCTGGGACGGTTTTGCTCGACTTAGTAGCTCTGTGCACTCACTGAGTTACTGGCTAGGCAGACACAGCCAGGCCTGGGGAGCAGGGAAGGGTAAGGTCCTCTTTCTAATCCATCAGGGCTGGTCTGGGAGTCTGGGACTCACTGTTCACCAATGCAGATTTGCTCTATGCATGCTACTGGTGTCTCTGTGGTGGTGGACCTCCTCACAGGGGATGGATGGGTCCTGGGGTTCTGAGGAACTAATTAACAATCATTTTATTCCTCAAATCAACTTGATGCTTCAAGTTGAGGCCCAAGTTATTTCATGAAAGGCAGTGTTGATTGAGCGCCCGTGTTGGGGGGAAGGCATCAGCATGGGGCAGTCAGAGAGGCATCCTCACTGTTGAACTGTGGGAGTGTCCTGAGTCCAGGACACCAGTTCCCACTCTCTCCACCAGGTCTCATAGTCCTGCCTCTAGGCATCTCATTGTGGATCATAAGGCTAGAAGGACAGAGATGGGGATGCCTTGGGACAGGACTCCTGAGCCAACCACAGAAAACCAAGATGATAGTGTCCACCTGTCTCTCTGTGGTGGCACACCACCTACGTGGAGGCCTTGCCCATCTAGCCTGTTGCCTGACACTATTAAGCCAATGTCATGATACTTCCCTCAACTGGACCACTCTGGCTATGGCTCCGGGAGCCATTTGGATAGGTCTTACAGAGCAGTCTCGCTGAGCTTCCCAGAGCTATCAAGGGGCTTGGGGACACCACCAATAGGGCATGGTACTGAGGAGAGAGCTCCCCAGGGCTCTGTGGGGAGACTAGAGAGGCCAGAGTGCTGATGAATGCCTGTGGGGTGCTAGCCATGCCCACTTAGGGCTTACTGGGTCCACATGACCTTCCTACACCAATTTCCGAGGTTCAGGACTGCCTGAGATCATAGATGGATGGACTTCCAGGCTGGGTCCTATTCTGGGAGGAATCATGTGGCCAAATTCAGATGAAGTTCCAAGAGCCCGAGGGCTGGATCAGTGCCTGGGAGGGCAAAGCCCAGACTGACTGCCATGGATATGCCCTGTCACTTCCAGTCCCAGCCCTCACTCCATGAGAAGCAAGGATGAGTAAGTCCATACGTGAGGCTGTAGGCAATCTCAGATGGGTAGGATTAAGCCCTGTGTCCTCAGGACTATAACCCAGGGAGCTTTTGGAAAGCTGCTTCCTGCTTTGCTCAGCCTCTGACTTTGATGAGGCCTGTACTGATGGATGACACTGTATGCACCCTCAGCTCCAGCCTCCACACTGCCCTGGATATCAGGCGCTGGCAAAGTCCATGGTGGCAGGTAGTGACTGAAGAAAAGGGCTCAAGAACCAGAGGGACAGGCATGGGCAGGAGCCCAGGAAGTATGCCTGGAAAGTACTCTGGAAGTCTGGCTGTCCCTCCGAGGCAAGCCTTTGATTAAATCAACTATCTGAGCTATATTCCTGGCTCGAGGGGCATAGTATGGCATGTGGGAACCAGTGTCAGCTGAGGAACAAGTTGGCCACCAGGGTACCTGTCTGCAAAAAGTTCTACCACGAAGCTGCTGAAACCTCAACTGCCATTAGTCACCAGAAGTATACAGAGTGGTGGCCCTGGAATGGGCAGCTTCCAGAGGGCGTCTTTGGTAAAAGGGTTGGGTTGTGGAGGTACTGTGACACAGGCCCCCTAGACACACACTCACTGTGGTGATGCCAGGCTCATAAGAACAGCACCCAGCCATGGACCCTGCAGGAGGGAAGCCATGGTGTGTGGTGAGGGGTGTTGGTGTCAATCACCATGTCCTCACGGTAGGTACCACTGCAGAAGTATGAGAGTTGAGGACCTCATCGCCTCCCCCATGCCTTTGCCAAGGTCCACACCTTGCTACCATGATGCCCTGCCTCCAGGCCACCATGACAGTCACTGGGGAGCTGGGTGTGATCATATTCAGTTGGGGTTCAGAAGGGCAGGCCCCATGGCTTCATATCAGGATGGGAAGCCATGTCTGGGGGATGTACAGACAACATGTACAGCAGGTACACCATGGGGCTGGATGGTGAGAGAGACGGCACCATCTGTGGGACAGACAGACTGTGCTAGATCTGAAGCCGGACAGGGGCCTGCTTAGTTCTGGGTTCCATCACAACACCCCTCAGAAACAAGCATTCCTGCAGTTTCACTTGTCCTAAGGCTCCAGAGAGGCTGCCTCACACACCAGAACACCTCACCTTCCTCCACAAGGCACTGGATATGTGTGACCCTCCAGGCCCACAGCAGTGAGTAAGGCTACCCTCCCTGGAGGGCGAACACAAGGGTAGCACCATCAGACTTCTCAAGGGTGGGCAGTGATGTCTCCACCAGGGTCTGCCGGATCTGTGCCCCCAGTTCACAGGCAATGATGCCCTCCTCAAAGGGCAGCATCTGTCACTTTCATCAGACCACATCCTGTTTGTATTGTGTCTTTGTCCTGTGGCCCACACTGCCCCCGCCTTCACCACCAGCAACCCCAAAGGAATCCTAGGGCCAGGAATGCATAGCAATCAAGCAGGCTGGGGTCCATGATACCAGGGTTCTGCATAAAGCAGGGAAGCCCCAGGACCATGGCTACCAGACCAGGACCCAAGCAGCTCTGCCTAGCACTGGGGCCCAGGAATCCACCTGCTCTCCTGAGAGCAGCCCACAGCACAGTGAGTACAGTAGGGGACTCTCTGGGTGGGCTGGGTGCAGGCAGGTGTGGCACCTGGAACCACACAGGGGCAAGAGCGGATCCTGGGGGGCTGAAGCTTCTTCCAGATCATCCTATGCAAAAAAAAAAAAAAAAAAAACACCAATGCAGGTCAGCCCTAGCTGCCAGCCAGGAAGCATTTATCTCCTAGGATAAAGAATATTCCTCGGTCTTCATGCATTCCATAGGGAGAAGGGAACGAGGCTTGCCTGTCCCCTGTGGGGGAGCCCTTTCCACTGGGACCTGAGGAAGCCCCCTTAGCAGCAGCAGGCTGGAGGCTACTCCAGCCCCTGGGGAGCGGGGGCTTAGCAAGCTGGATTTGGGTAAGAAGCCGAGCTGCTTTTGTTGTTGTTTTTGAAGCTTTCTGGCTGAGCTCACTTCTTTGAAATATTTTCAAGGAAGCAGTTTCTGGAAAGAATGCCTCCTCCTCCTTCTATTCCAGCTTCAGGGGGCTCCTCAGAGGATGAGCCAGCCCAGTCAGGCTCACCCATGGTCATTGCAAAACAGACTTCCTCCGTGAGGGAGGAGAACAGCTTCCATCAAGGCAGAGGTGTGGGGGGGACACAGTGACAGTGGGTACACATGGGGTGCAAAGTAACCGCCACGGGAACCTTGCACTCAGCTCCCTCCCTTATAAGGCTGCAGGGTCTGGGCAAACCCTGCATGACCGAGCCCGAGGAATTGGGGGTGGCACTCTGGTTGGCAGGCTGGATGGCTGTGTGCAGGAAGCAAGCATGTCCCCGAGGCCTGGTACCAAGAAGCCACATGGACATTAGAGCCCTGACCCCCCCCCCCCACTCCAGCAGTGTGACTGGGTGCGGTTTGCCTGATAGATTTACTGTGAAGATAAGCCCATTCGGAGCCTGTCCTGTCCAGTGAGCCCTGTCACTGGCTCGTCCACAGGTAGGTGTCTGGGTTACACAAAGACCACCAAACCCATTCCCCCACTCTCTGGAGCAACTTGTCCCTGAGTTAGGGAGACAGCGGCGTTTCCCAGCAGACCAACTAGACCTATTCATTATGAAGTTGAAAACATGGCTGCTTTTCACTCTGCCCATGGCCCAAGAGTCAATAATTGTAATAGAAAATTGAACGGAATGCACACAGCCCTGAGGGCCACCGGGGCACCTCTGCGAACCAGCTGGCAGTCGAGTACTCTGGTACTGAGCCATGAGAGCAGGCAGCTCCTCGGCTGCAGGTGAGTGAGAGTGTGAGATTAAGCCTAATTGGTACAGCCAGCTCCTGCGGTGGCTAAGGAAGGCAGGGCTAAGCTGAACCAGCAGCTAACCCTCTAAGATGGGAAACTTGGGGACAGGGTTGTGTGTGACCAAAGCTGGCCACTAACTCCCCTCCTCTCTTTCCTCCACTCAGATGAGGAGCCTCCACTCTTTGCCTTACCTCCTTCTCCTGCCACTGACTACCTGCTTCCCCCTGCTGGACAGAAGGGGACTCACAGACGTCGGTGACGTAGGAGCCAGGATGAGCTGGGCCCACCTGGTTGAGGGACTCAGACCACACTCAGTTAGAGGCCCTTTCCTGTGGCCCAGAGCACCACAGCCGCAGGCCCTGCTTGTGGTGGCCAAGGAACTGCGGGCCTCACGCAGGGCGCACACTGGCTTCCGCCTGGGGAGGCAGGACAGTAGCAGCCAGGCGGCAGGGTTCCTGCCCACCGACTCAGAGAAGGCCAGCGGCCCCCTGGGGACCCTGGCGGAGGAGCTCAGCAGCTACAGCAGGAGGAAGGGAGGCTTCAGCTTTCGCTTTGGCCGGTGAGGGCCTTTGTGGACTCTGCCTGTATTTCCACTATTGCCCTGACCAACACCCGGCCCCTCAAGGCCCCAGACTCCAGAGAGTAAAGCCTGTTATAATGAATTGGTGGTAGATAGCTGTGTGCTCAACTTTTCATTGTCAACTTCGCTAAAGTGAAAAACTTGCGCGGTGTTTTAAAAAAAAAAACACACACACACAAATGAGCAATCACTCCCCCCCCCAAAAAAAAAACCTACACAAGAGCAAATGTGTCTTGGTTAGTAAGACTAAGTGTCCTTGTCCTAACCCATGACCCAGGCTGCTGTCTCAGCCACCCTCTCTTCCCAGTGGTCTGACTGGAGCAGCCCCCAGCCCCCAGAGGCAGGGCACCTGGGCTGTGAGCACAACAGGCCTCTGGCTCTGTTGCTCAATTGATGGGAGGTGGACTGCGAGATTACAGAGGGAAATCAAAGTTCTGACAGCCCCCACAGGGACGCTGGTAGCTGACATCTGAAGTGCCACTGTGAAAGAGCACAGTCCACCGTGTATAGAATGTGACTCTGAAAGTTACAAATGGAGGGGAAAAAATAACCCACCCAAACAAACCCAAGACAGTGAGTGTCCTCTCCTCCCCATTAGCACAGGATGCCTCTGGCCAGAAAGCCGTGCAGTGGGCAGCTGTGGCACCAAGCCGCCCTTTCCTGCCCATGCCCTCCGGCAGCTAGCCCTGACCATGGTAGTGTTTGCCAAGCCAAGGGCCTCATGGGAACTGAACTCGAGGAAGGGATGGTTTCTTGCAAGGCAAGGTTGAGTTTCAAATACCCAAACTAGGAATATACCATGTGTATCTTTTAAAATAAAAGTTGTAACAACTGCAGCATCATAATGGAATGCTGGCCTCCTCCTTCCAGGTCCTCTGGGCCCCAGAAACTTCTTTTCTTGAGCTCCTGGAGCCTTCACTTTGGGGAGATGGAAATCAGGCTGTCTGTACCCCGTACACCTCTCCTACCAGCCCCTTAATTGGCAGCTGGGTGAAGGTACAGGGAGATACAGCACAAGCTGTTTCCGTCTTTACTTCCCTGTTCCTTCCCTACGTTTCTTAGAATGGGGGGGGGGCTGACATCTCCACCTGGAGGGGGGCTCAGTCTGGGCTGTGTGCAGCCTGGGGCCAGGCAGAGCCTCCCTTTCAAAGGCTGCTGAGTCTCCTGCATCCCATCCCAGGTCAGACACACCCGTCAGAAGCAGCTCACTCCAGGGCTGGCTGTGACTGCTGAGATGAGGACTTATATTGATGTTTCCATGGCAACATCTCCCCTCCTCCTTTCGTGTGGCGGCTTGCCCCTGTTCACAATTGAATAATTTTCCATTGAGCTGTCACAATTAATTGGTGGATTTTTATTAGCCTTTTAGAACCACACTGGGCCAGGCCCAGCTTGGCACCTCACAGTATTCCGGTATTTTCCGTTCTGTTGGTGACTTACGTTCCCAGTAGCAGCTCTCAGTCCTCAGCAGTCAGGAAGCCACTTCATTAAGGCTGACAGGATCAGAGCCACAAAAGAACCACGTTGACTGTGGAGCGGGGCTGGGAGGTGAGGTGAGGAGGGAGGCCAGAACCAAACACCTGACGCTGTGGTACACAGCCTTCCCCAGAGCCCACAGTAGGCTCCCCTGGGCCTTGCACATGGGTCCTAGGCTGCAGTCACTGTGACAAGGCAAGGACCCCAGGCTCTATGAGGCGCATCATTCTGCCTTCCCCACCATCTCAGGAAGAGATGTGGGTATGTGCTGAGGGTGTGTACAGCAAAGGGATGCTGCTGCTCCCTGCTAGTGTGACACACTCCCTGGGTCAGTGTCTGTGAATGTAGTCCTGGGACACAGGCTACTTTGGTTCTACCTAGCTCCCTCACCCACCAGGGATGCCCACCCTGCTTCTGTGGAGCAATAGCCTAGCTCAGCCTCTCCATGGCTCATTTATACACATAGAAGACAGGCTGAGACAGGCCAGGGCAGAAGGGCATCCTGGAGCCAGGTCCCTGGCCTTTCTCCTCACTCCCATGAGGCGGAGTGACCGGCACACCCTCTCTCTGTGGGTAGGTGCTGGCACATTTTGGATTTTCTTTTGCAGTACCAGGACACCAGCTTGGGCCCTTGTGCAGACAAGCGCTCTACCACTGAGTTGCATCCCAAACCTGGCAGGCTCTTAATTTAGCAGGATTAGATTAATCACTATGGAGAAGACTGAGATGAAGGGGGAGGCCTTCAAAGGAACGAATCAGCTGTCATTACCTTTAATCATTAAAAGAACCAACAAAGCTATTTTTTTTTTTCAGTTTGCTTGTACATTGGAGCTCAATAGCCCTGAAAATCAGAACACTCAGACTGCTAAAGCATTGATCTGCTAAACCAGCTCGCCTATATAGTGCTAAACTCCCTCTTTAACCCCCTGCCCCCAAGTTTCTCACGCTCTGGCAAGGTCTAGGCCCTCTTCTGTCCTCTTGGGAATGAGGAAATCACTCCCCTCCTGACTGGGAAAGGGGAGGCTCTGGGAAACATCTACCCCGAGGCAGACTCTGCTTCAGGCTGTTCACCCACTGGCCTGGAATTTCCAGCTCTCAACCTGAGAGCTGTCTGTAGCTACTCCTGTATTTATTCAATACATAAACAAGAGCCGGGAGCAGCAGTGCAGGCTTGTAATCCCCATCCTCCGGAGGCTAATGCTGGAGGATCAAGGTTCAAGGCCAGCTTTGGTTCCAGATAGAGATGGAGGCCAGGCTGGACTAATGAGTCCTGGTCTCAAAGAAAACAACTTTCACTGTAGTGTGTAGTGTGCACATCTATAGGTTATTAGCTGCTAAGGTGGATGGGAATGTCTGTCCATATTTTCCTGTGTTTGAAATACTAATTAAATGCTTAAGGAAGAAAAAAAGAAAGGCTCAGGACAGCTAGCTGCCCATCCTCACTTGCTCCAGTACCAGACACCACAGAAGATCCACAGACCCCAGCCTTGAGTTCCTGCTCACCCTCTGCTTATATCAGGTGACTATCAAGGATGAAGGCAGTGCCAACGATGGGGTGGGGCTGGGGGACGCTCCACTTAATGTCATCTGTGAACCAGGGAGCTGAGAGCACAGTACAGTGCCTGTCACATGAGCATGAAGCCCTGAGTTCAAATTCACAGCACCCATATAAAAGCTGGTGTGTGTTTCTAATGCCAGCCCTGGATGGAGGTGGGTAGAGTGGATGACAGATAGATCCCTGGAGCTCATTGGCCAGCTAGCCTAAACTTCAGGTTCAACAAGGACCTGTCTTGAAAATACACTGGCGACTAAGGAAGACACTTAACATTGACATCTGTTCTACACACACACAGAGAGAGAGAGAGAGAGAGAGAGAGAGAGAGAGAGAGAGAGAGAGAGAGAGAGAGAGAGAGGGAGGGAGAGAGGGAGGGAGGGAGAGGGAGGGGGAATCTTTCCTAGAACACTTGGGAGTTAGACAGCATTGAGTTAAATCTGGGCCTATGAGGTCAGGCCAACCACTCAGCCTGGAGGGCGCTTCCCACGGGCAGATGTAGCCCCTCTGCACTGCACTATCTACAAACCACCTGACCTGGCAGGCACATGCTGTGTGGCCTTGGCTAAACTACTTCACCTCTCTGAGCCTCAGCTACCGTACACCTCAAAGAGGACGGCGCCAGACCTCAGAAGGATGGTGCAAGCATTCCATGGGGTGACATGGCATCTGCAATGAGAGCTCAGGTGGGGAACTGTCTGCAGGACAGTTGCTCCCGGAATATGCGCCTCTTCCAAATGTAGACACCCAGTAGCTGGCACCACCCAGCCTCCTGCCCTGTTCTAAAGCAGCAGCTGCAATTGAGCTTTTCTGCACCCTAGAACCCCAGCACAAACACAGCACAACTTACTAACATCACATGTATGGAGAGAGATCGCTATCATCTCTGCTTTCCTTTTGATTTTGTGTTATCTACTTGTGTGCACACGTGGAGGTCAGAGGACAACTCACAGCAGCTGGTTTTCTCCACACACCGTGTGGGTCCCATGGATTGAACTCAGGTCGTCAGACCCGGCAGCCATTGCTCCACATGGAGTCATCTTGCTGACCCCTCAGAATGGGCATGTGCAAGAAGAGTATGTCTCCGGACCACCCTCAGCTATTTGATTCTACGGAGCGTCTAGGCATCTAGGAAGGTCAAGAAGGCCAGTCTTAGAAATGAAATGACTAAGTTTCAGATGATACGTTAGGACCTTGAGAGATAGGAAGTATTTAATCCCTGAGTCGAGGTGACATGTCCCACCCCTGTGGCCTTACATGAAGCACTGAGAAAACAGGCCAGTAGTTGCCAGCCTGAGGCCTTGGGAAGACCCTGAGAGGCCCACTTCACACACAAAGGAGCAAATGCTAACAGTGGGGCTGCCCTGGAGCTCTCCTACTGCCCCTTTCAGATTGGCCACAGAAGCCCTGCAGGAGGGCCAGCGTCCACAAGGGCCCCTGGGCAACTCAGAACCACTTCCACATCTGTGATGCCATGGCAGAGGAATCCTTGCCGTGGTCCCTGGCAGAGGCTACACTTACTAAAACACAGCCCCCCAGGGCCTGCTGGGGTGCTGCTTCCTTCAGCTTCCGGTCACTCCCTGTCCCCTCAAACTTAATAGCTGGCACCTGGAAGGCATACCGTGCAGGTATGTAATACTGGGTGGCTGAAGGCAGGGGCAGGAAGTAGGCTCAGATGTAGAGACATGCCAGGGAGGTTTCACCCTGCCAGCAAGATTCTCAGGAGCTTATGTCTCTCCTGTGCCAGGCCCGGCACAGGGCACTACCACCTGCCGTAAGGCTGACAAGAGCTGAGCAGCTGGCAACTATGTGCCAAGGACACAGGATGACCAAGACATCCTGTTCATGGACAGCAGCGCTGTTCTGCTTTATGACAGCCAAACATGCTGTGACCCTTTGGGACATGAGGGGTAGCAGGGATGAATCACAGACCAAGCAATCTGTCAATAGTTCTGTAAACACTTATTTATTTAAAAAATACTACAGAGAGATTTGGATTCAAAAAAAACAGAGTCAATATACAGAACAAAATGTACTGGACTGAGAAAAAGGGG